TTTTTCCCCTGTGCCATTCCACATTATTACAAATAACTTCAATTCTGGACATTTATGGTTTCTTTATGTATGGATCACTTGGGTTGTTACCGACATCTGGTGAAAATTTCATGTCATTAGCACCTCTAGTAATATATTTACTGAGAAAAATGTTGATGTGTTCAATACTTATTTTACCCGCTGTAGGCCCCATGGACATGCTGCAACTTAAGTGACAGCCTTGGAATTTAAAAAAAAGAGAGAAAGAGAAAGAAAAGTTTTTATGCTGACCTGGAGGCTGTTGTGGCCACGTGTGCTGCTGCCAGTCCTGAAGAATGTAGGTGAAGCGAATGGAGACGTCTATTGGTGGCAGAGGGAGCAGGTTACAACCCTGATAAAAGAAAATATCTGTTAATTTACACCAGGCGGCAGGTTTCAACCCTGACAAAACACTGTGGATGAGTGGTTAGGGAAGTCGTCCTCTAATGAGATAGTTCGTGGTTCAATTCCACCACTATGCAGTCATATGTTGACGTGTCCCTGGGCAAGACACGGAACGCCCCCACTGCCTCTGCCGTGTCCCGTCTATATGAATGTGATTTAAGCACTGATTAGACTATAGATTGATTTATCCAGATGTAGTAGTGTGCTGCAGGTAAATAGGGACACACATTGTTGAGTAAAGAGTGTTGAGTATCCTGGTTGAATAGGAAGAGGCAGTGTTGTATAAAGTATCACAAAGTGATACTTGAGTAAAAGTACAAGTATCTTACCAAAAAATTACTTTGGTAAAAGTTAAAGTCTCCTTTAGGAATATTACTTGAGTAAAAGTCTTAAAGTATGTGATATTTTTTGTGCATTTTTACTATATTTTATAATAAGCTGGAATGAAAACAAGCAAAAATGAAATAAAAGTAACGACTTTCTACTTCTTGCCTTTTTTTAAATGTAAGGAGTAGAAGTAAAAAGTAGGCTGAAAAATAATTACTCAAGTAAAGTACAGATACCCAAAAATTCTACTTAAGTGCAGTAACAAAGTATTTGTACTTATTTACTTTACAACTCTGGGAAGGGGCTAATTAGATCCATATCTATTTGGGCAGAGACACAATTTTCCTAATTTTGGTTCTATACATGACCACTATGAATTTAGTTCAGACTTAGCTTTAATTCATTGAGTTGGGCAAACACAATCCCTTCATTTCAGAGGCTCAAAAGTAATTGGACAGATTAAATAATTGTAAATAAAATGTTAATTTCTAGTACTTGGTTGAAAAGCCTTTGTTGTCAATGACTGCCTGAAGTATTGAACTCAGGGACATCACCAGACGCTGTGTTTCCTCCTTTTTAATGCTCTGCCAGGCCTCAACTATGGCGGTTTTCAGTTGCTGTTTGTTTGTGGGCCTTTCTGTCTGAAGTTTAGTCTTTAACAAGTGAAATGCTCAATTCGGTTGAGATCAGGTGACTGACTTGGCCATTCAAGAATATTCCACTTCTTTGCTTTAATAAACTCCTGGGTTGCTTTGGCTTTATGTTTTTGGTCATTGTCCATCTGTAGTATGAAACGACCACCAATCAGTTTGGCTGCATTTGGCTGGATCTGAGCACACAATATGGCTCTGAATACCTCAGAATTCATTGGGCTGCTTCTGTCTTGTGTCACATCATCAATAAACACTAGTGACCTAGTGCCACTGGCAGCCATGCATGCCCAAGCCATCACACTGCTCTGCTGTGTTTTACAGATGATGTGGTG